TTTTTCTCTCATTTTTGTTTCTTCCTTATGCTGGGTTAAAATACTTACATAAAACCCACAACACAAAATACATGTTATTTGTTTTTTTATGGTAATCGAGTTCTGTGTGAAATACGGACCATTCAATCCCTCAATTAAGGGCTAGATTCAGATAACAAATTGGGTTATGGGTTTAATCCATCAGATTAAGGTAGCTTTTCATACCCCAAGCATATTTAAAAATAATTAATGATGATCTCCGAGGCTTTGAGGAATTTTAATGATAAGAACATATTTAAACTGTGATAGCAGTTATGTTAAAACATTTATTATGCTTCCAAAAGTGTTGAAGTACATAGAAAAGGATCAAATGATCATAATGTTTAGTATTGAGTTTGGTTAACAAAATTCTTGCTCACTATATAATGGTGCATTCTGCTTATAGTTGGAAGTAGAACATGAATGCTTATAAACTTTGGAATTTGCAGCACTTCAATATCCAATATCACTTCTGAATATAAACAGCATTGTTTTTAAAACCTTGTATAGTTTATATGGCTAAACCAAGACCTCTCAGCCAGTCTTTTTTTAAATTGGTGTTTTAATTTTTCCAACAATTTTCCTATAAAATTAGATAATCCAAACATTTTGGAGGTCCCAAGCCCAATTTAAATAATTAAGGTGATTGCAATGACACCTTTTATAACTGGCGCTCATCACAAAAAAAAATATTGTCGAATTATCTGTTAATTAATACAAAGAAACTGATCTTTAATTATCAAAATGTCATTCTCTCATGAACTGATGCAAAATTCAGAAAATCTTTATGAGTTTCTCCCTCTGCAGCAGAGCACCTTGGTGTTTCTCTTACTTGATACTACAACCTAGATTATGAATCGAGAGCATATAACAACTGGCAGTTATTTGAGTGTGTTAAAAGATAAGAAATTTGAGTAAAAATGTTTAATACTTATTAAACCCCATTGTATCCTGAATTATATATTTTTTCTGTCATTAAATCGGTGCTAACTGTTCCAACTGATCCATTTATCTATCCTCACTGTTATAAAATCCATCTGTTAAATCTGCTCACAGGACTACCTCCATCAGTTCTACAAACTCCAAAAAGATAATTTTTTGCGCATAAAGAGAAGTGAGCCCTCCTTTATTTCCAAAGTCAAAGAAATGCAAATGTTTCTTGGGCTCAATTCAACTGGGGTGTTAGACTTGGAGACCCTTGAGGTGATGCAGAGCCCCCGGTGTGGCGTTCCAGATGTGGAGGAGTACAGTCATATCCAGGGGGCACGCTGGAACAAGAACGTCATCACATACAGGTACTGAGCATGGCTTAGCTGAGTTTACTTATTCACCTTTCAAAATGTCTCACATCAAGAAATAAATCAATCTAGTTGCTCCAAATAGCCAAGCCAAACCAAAGCTTAAAGGCCAACTGGCAATAAAACATTTGGAAAAAATAGGCAGAAGCAGCTGTCACAAATCATTGCAGCATTTCTTAGCTTTGGATTCATGACTCTGAGAAGTCTTGTGGGTTTGATGGAGTGCCAACATGACAAGTTTTACTTGAACTTATGTAACATTGTGTCTGTTCAGTTCCAAGCTGTGTTTAAATGAGAACCAGTTAATTACACACAAAATAAATGTTTCATCTTGAAGAAAGCAGAACTTATGAACATTTTCCTATATTTTTGTTTTTACTTTATAAACAAACACAATGGTAATGTGCGAACATAAGTGCTAACTATGTACAGCTTGCTGTTGGCCTGCTTACAGACATGGGCCTACTGCTCTATTTTGCTAAAGATTTTCACAAAATCTTTAGGAAAGATTTTGCTAAATGGCTACGGCCTACTTGTTGAGTAACACAATGTGATTTGAAAGAAAAACAAAGTGTTATTAAAGATCTCATTCTGATTTTGCCCCGATTTGAATAACTTTTTTTGTTTTTGGTTTCTCTAAGTATCGGAAGATACACCAGAGATTTGCGACGCAGCACTGTGGATTCTCTGATAGAGTCAGCTTTCGGTGTTTGGGCCAGAGCCAGCGGTCTGAAGTTTATCAGGACACACACACGCAATGCTGACATCATGGTGGAGTTTGTGGCCAAATGTAGGTTCATCATTAATATCATATTAAAAGTAACTCTAGATAATAGAAAATCAGCAGAGTTATGAACATAGTGGGTACCAACTTGGAAAACTGTAGTAGTGTAATTTTTCAGGTGACTGTGTTAATGTGCACACTGCTCAACTCCATGGACTCATTCAGATGAGGTAAATGGAAGCCTGTAATTTTGAAAATGGCTTTCTCTGTGGTTTCTGTTTCATGTTTGGTCTGGATTATATTCTGAAGCACATGGAGACTTTTATCCCTTTGACGGCCCCAGAGGCACACTGGCTCATGCCTTTGGCCCAGGGATGGGAGCTGGAGGCGACACACACTTTGATGATGATGAGCACTGGACAGCTGGAGGAACAGGTGATGAACTGAGTCACACGAGTAATGCTGAACAGACCAGTACCACAAAGAGTAAAATTAATCTGAATTTTTTGGTTCTGTTGCAGGGTTTAATCTGCTTTTGGTGGCAGCTCATGAATTTGGCCATGCTTTAGGGCTTAGACACTCCAGAAATCCTGAGTCACTCATGTATCCAACCTACAAATCTGTTCGTCCAACAAACTTGCTGTCCAGAGAAGATGTAGCCAATATCAAAGCCCTTTATAGTAATTTGGTTTTCATATCTGCTTTCGCACATTGAATCAACAAATGTATAATTTACTCTAAAATACTTACAAATATATCTTGGTGTGTTAGGTCCTCCCAGGAATCATAGAAACTGGCTGCTCAGGCCACTGTTCCCAAGACTCATGCAGGACAAATGTTCACAAGACCTGACCTTTGATGCTGTGACAACCCTTGGAGATGCTACCTTCTTTTTCAGAGACAGGCATGTTCATACTTCTAATCTTAAATTAATCTTACCATTAATTTGTGCACAGATGTTCACTACATCTAATTTGAAAGCTGTGCTAACTGGCAATGTGTGTTTTATCCCTGTTTTTTTTTTTTCTCCACTAGATATCTTTGGATTAAACATAATGAGCAGTCTGACATAAAAGAAGGTCCCATCAGCAACTTCATGCCCACGATTGAAACCAGTATTGATGCTGCCTTCTGGATACCTCGCAGATCGACTGCCTACCTAATATCTGGTAATGATGTACTATTACGTCCACTGTACTGTAGAGTAAACATTAAAGTATTACCTTTTGCTTGACTTAAATGTAAGACAACCCCATCCCTCAGGGTCACAGTGGGGCTGTTGTCTATCTTCAGTAGACTATGGGCAATGAGAGGTTCACCCTGGCGAGGTCGCTAGTCTGTTGCAGGGCAACACAGAGAATTACAAGTTTGCACACACTCACATGGACAATTTAGAAATTCCAGTTGACTTGTTTTTTGACTGTGGTAGAAAGCTGGAATACCCAGAAAGAACCCATGTATGCAGGGGGAGAATATGCATGTCCAAGTAGAAAGACTACAGGCCTTGAATTCATGCAACAAATCTAAAATATGTGGATTATTCTTTTCTGTTGACAGAATCCATGTTCTGGACAGTAAAAGGTTCTATTGTGAGAGGAAAGCCAAGATCACTTTCCTTCTTTGGATTTCCATCTTGGGTTCAAGAAGTTGATGCAACTGTGCACGTTGCTAAAACAGGACGTACTCTCTTCTTTATGCATGACATTTACTGGAGGTAAGCGAGCACTAATAGAGTCCAGCTATTAAAGGAATTTGCTTCATGATTTTGAGCTAAAGATAATTCACATGATTGGAGTGTTGGATGAGACCAAGGCAACCATTAGCACAGAGAAGCAAAGCTATAAAACACATGTATTGTGTATAAGAGATTCATTTTAAATTAAACAGCACTTGCTAGCTCACATTGCATGGGATGACTACTTTATAAGTGGTTTTATGGTACAGAAAATATATATTGTTTACAATTTTTTTGTGATTTTGGTTTTAAATTTACCCTGTGTTTTTTATAGTTTCAATGAAAACAGAAAGGTGATGGATTTTGGCTTCCCAAGGTCTATCATCAATGACTTCCCTGGAGTCAACTCGACAATAAATGCAGCTTTCTACAAGAGTGGTGAGTACTTATTAACTAAAGCACTCATGCTCGGGGAAAATGCTACTGAATGCAATATATGCTATTATAGAAGTCTCTGTATGCTTGGGCACTTTTATGTAAATGAATGTATATATTTTTTCCTATTAGAAGCAGCACTGGAATGTTAATTTACCTCTGACACTTGGAACATGGAGTTAGGTTTTTACAGCACCTTTATTTGTAGTGTGTGATTTACACTCTATAATTTCATCTCTCAATTCCTTTATGTGATATAGCATAATTTGAGCTACGAGGAAAGGTAGACATTTAAGGTTGAAAGACATCCTTCATTGTAACCACCATCAGGAAAATGCTTACTCCAGTCTAGACGACAAAATCTGAAAAGGTTCAGTGTCTGAACGTGGAGTTCTGAGGATGTGTTTTTTTTTCTGTTTCTTTTAGATTTCCTCTACTTTTTTGTTGGACCACAAGTCTACAAATTTGACTACAGCCACAAAGTTGTTGTAGGAGTGGAAACAGCTAATTCTTGGCTTGGTTGTTGATTTTTGAAATTTGCTTAAATAAATGCAAACACTGCAAAAACTGATTTCATGGAGGGTCATTGTTATGTATTTTTTTCATAGAGAGTTAAGCACAGTAATGCTTTTGATTTTCTTTGAATTTGTGTAACAGTGAAATATCCTCTACAGTTCCTGGCTTGCTCTGCGGCTGATGTCATAAATCCTCTTTCTTACCAACTGTATGTGGTGTAGACTGACATTCAGACGAGCCAAGACCAATTTAGGTTTTCCTCATATGGATGCAAGTTTAGGCTTGAGTTAAAAAGAAAAAAGTTTTAAAAACTCATTTCTATAGCATAAAAACACAGTTTTCCATAAATTCCATACATTTATTGGCATTTAAGTGTCAACCACAAACCTCCAGGTAGGCCTCACTGTAACTGTGATAATTAAGCACCTTTGGATCACGTGATTACCCACTTTCCTCATGAAATCTCTCATATAAAAACAAGGTTTAGTCGTCTGAAACAAACACTAAAGAATGGAGTTGTTGTGGATGCGCAACATGGTTTTGGTCTCTCTGATATTGGTGGAAATCTCATGGACTCGACCCATTGATGAGGATCTGCATCTGACTGCGGATGATATCGAGCTTGCAAAGGTCTGTCGGTAAATAGCAGTTCTGCAGATTGGTCTCATGTAACTCTGTGCAAATTATTACAGTGTATATTTGTTACTTCAGTAATAGAATTTAATTTTCAAATATTACAGCTATGTAAACTAGATATGCATATTTTAGCCGGAAAAGGTATTAATAGGGAAAGATATCAACATTTGGTAAATAATGCACCAGAGGCCCTTAATTCATAAAATATAGTTAAATGTTGTTTAAATAAAAAAATGTAACTTTTAATTAAAATAAATTTTTTGTGTGTTTCCACACTTTAAAGACAGGAAATTAATTTGTATTCAAAAACTTAAGAAGTGACTGAGTTATGAGTTTAATCCATCATTTTTTCACTTAAGAAATGATTAAAGTTACAGTACCCTGCAACCAGCAACATTGTGGAAATCTTGTTCACCTGTGGTGAAAGGGGCGACAGTGGCGTTGGATGCAGGAGTTTGCCCTGCAACTGGAGGGTTGTTAGTTCAAGCCCAAGCTCAGGCTTTCAGTGTCATTGTGTCCTTGGGCAAGACACTTCAAATGCAATGCCTACTGATAGTTGTCAGAGGGCCCGGTGGCGCCATCGTACGGCAGCCTCACTTCTGTCAGTGAGCCCCAGGGCAGCTGTGGCTATAATGTAGCTTACCACCATCAGTGTGTGTGTGAATGACTGAGTGTAGTGTAAAGCACTTTGGTCAAGTCTTCTGACTTGAAAAATTGCTAGATTAGTACAGGCCATTTACCATGAAATTGAATTCATCTTTACATGTGTTAACATATACTTTGTTTTTTTCCCAATGCAAACAAACCTTCTAAATACCAGACTTTACTATAAAGTAACATTAAACTCATGCTACAATCCAAATTTTCATTTAAGAAAGCCACTACATGAAAAAACTTGAAAAAGTCATCACCAAAAGGAATATTTTTACTGTACATCTTAACAGAGCTATCTAAGGAGGTTCTACAGTCCAAGCCTCGGAGGCAAAGACCTCAGGAGTCCAACGCGTAGAATCAGGTCCTCATCATCAAGGGAGCAAAAGATCAGACAAATGCAGAACTTTTTTGGCCTGAGGGAAACAGGAATCCTAGACTCTGAAACCCTGGATGTGATGAAGAAGCCACGGTGTGGTGTTCCTGATCTGGACAACTACAGTTTTTATCCTTATAGGCCTAAATGGAAAAACTATACCATCTCTTACACGTGAGACTGCTTTACTATGGCAAATAATATTACTGTGAAATACATAACTACCTTTATATTGCACATGCTACCTTTGTTATGTCTGATGCCGTATGCAGGATTACGAAGTATACTTCGGACATGGGTAAACTGGAGGTGGAAAAGGCTTTTCGTTTAGCCCTAAAGATGTGGAGTGATGCAGCTCCTCTGAGCTTCATTAAAGTCGACCATGGAAAAGCTGATATTGTCCTCTCCTTTGCACGCAGGGGTAAATCAACACACACGACAGAGGAACTGCTGTCATAGCTTTAAATTCTAAAGAGTTAAAAACTATTGGATTCATAGACTGTTAATTTTTGGTATGTTTTTCAGCTCATGGGGACTTTTCTCCTTTTGATGGGCCTGGAGGTGTGCTGGCTCATGCCTTTCAACCTGGAGAGGGGGTGGGTGGAGATGTACACTTTGATGAAGATGAAACCTGGACAACAGGGATGCAAGGTTTGTGATATTCAGCAAACAAAATACACTTAATTAGGTCTGACCCTACTGAGATCATGACTGATCCAGCGTGATGGACATAGAATAAACTAGCCGGACACTTTCCTTTATACCATTTGGAACCGACCAGCCTTGCTAGTATACAATACAGTGGGACTTTATGGAGTCTCAAAACCTGAGAATGAAAATAAAGTTTGAAACTAACAAACATAAGTTTGATGTCAGGTTTAATAATTGGTAGTTATGTTTCAAATGAGCTAACACTACATTGTTTTGCTGTTTTTTTTCAGGTTACAACCTTTTTGCTGTTGCAGCTCATGAATTTGGTCACTCTCTGGGTTTGACTCACTCCAGAGACCCCTCGGCTGTCATGTTCCCCAATTACAGGCTTCACAGCAACAAACAGTACGCACTTTCCAGGGATGATGTCCTGGGAATCCAAATGCTGTATGGTGAGGAACATATTTTATTTGGAAAATATATTTTTTTTCTGAAAAAAAAACAAAAACAATAAAAAAGTAAATTATGGTATTACTGCCAATTAGGAAAACCCAAGAAAGATACTGAAACTCGCCCTCCAGTTCCAAAGAAATGTGATCCCACATTTTTCTTTGATGCTGCTGCAGTGATCAAAAATGAGATTGTTTTCTTTAAGAACAGGTAAAGTGGGAATTACACTTTGGCGAAGTGTGCTGGATATGTTTTAAGTGTAGATGTTTTATTTTTTATCCAGATTCATGTGGATGAGAACAACCAGGTCGACTTACTGGAATCGCCTAAGAGAAGGTCACATCAGTACATATTTACCAGGCATTGGTTCGCCTATCGATGCAGCTTATGACATCCCAGCCAAAGGCGTGACATACCTATTCGCTGGTAAAGATAATGGGCACTCTGCAAAGCTTTGCTCAGGCCATGTCATCATGACAAGGCTTGATTCCCAGCTGGAGAAGGCAGTGTCACACCCAAATTACAGCCTATTGCAACTAAGTGTTGTAGTTTATGCAACAGGCTCGCTGAATTTAGCAGCGTCTGTGGTAGGCTGCTGTTTTTCATTGTGTCTCAAAATGCATGTACATAACTGCATTGTGTTTTTTCAGGTCGTAAGTACTGGGTAGTGCAACAATTAAAGACAAGAAGTACAACTGGCAACATCTCAGAGTTTGGTTTGCCACCCAGTGTTCGACAGGTTGATGCTGCAGTTCATAATGCGGAATATGGGAAAACCATATTCTTCATAGGACCCTTATATTACAGGTAATCTCTTGTTTCATACATGTTTTTTATAAGAGAAACAAAATAATAAAATATAATCCAACAACCAGATGCTACAATATTAAGTTAGGAAAGTCTCCGTCTAGTTCTTAAGAAACTTCTTCTTAGTTGCACTGCTCTGAACTTCCACATCAATGCCGTTTTGCACCATGTCTCGCTCAAAATGTTTACAATGGATCACTTCTGCACTTTATGCATGGTAATGTTCCTTTTTACTGCTAAGCTGCTGCTCATTCACTGCCTGAAAGCTGTATAAACAAAATTTTGTGTGCATATTATTATGTGTTTTCTGTGTATACAAAATGACAATAAAGTTAGTCTAAGTCTGTTTTACTGTTCAAATTGGATGTAATAAAATGTTTATTTTGGTTCTGTACAGTATAAACACCCCTGTTTGAATGCTACTGTAGATTTGTATGGTGTGAGAAAAAAAAAAAAACAATAATTAAAACTTCTGCATTTAACAGAAGATAGATCCTGTGCAATTTGATTTAAATTATAATTAAATACAGAGACAAGATATAATAATGTATTTGCATAAAATAAATAGATGAGAGTCACTTTTATTATTCAGCATGCTTGGGTTTCTTCCCCCTATCAGTTAGATTTTGCCTGAAAAACATTTTTCCTGTCATATTTTGCAGAGATAAAAATGAGACAATACAATCTAATTGTACTGTATGAAAAGACGGGCTTACAGCAATCTACAAGATTTAATTTATACTCCAGAATTGCAAAGGCTGCCACCATTAATTCAAGCTATATCTGACTGCCTTTCTGTCTGACAAATATCCAGAGTAATTATCTTTATATGATTTCAGCTATGATGAGAACAAGAGTCATATGGACCCTGGTTTCCCCAGGCTCACCCAAACAGACTGGCCTGGAATCCCAAGAAGGGTTGATGCTGCATTTAAGTTACATGGTAAGATGAGAGAAACTCTGTTCACAGATTCATTTTATGTTACGTAGACCTGGGAACAACACAAATTGAAAAAAACTAGAATAGAAGCTGGAATTCTCTTTTTTTCCCCAAATGCAGTGGTTGATTAAAAAAAAAACCCAAAGCATAAAATCATAAAAGAAACAGCTCAAGGTTATAATCATTGTTTAATTTAAGCATATATGGGGTTTCAAACTATATTTCTTGTATATTTGTGTTTACGCAGGCAGCATCTTCCTCCTCAGCGGGACGAAATCCTACCAGTATGACTTCAGACAGAAGCGGGTGGTGAACATAATTACAGGAAATTCTTGGCTGGGATGCTGACTTACTGAAAACCCACACTTTATGTAGCTAAAAAAAATAAACCTAACAAAACTTGTATTTCTTAAACAGGGATTATACTGTTGCATGGCTGATCCGCAATCTACTGTAACCTCTGTACAACGAAAATACTGCTTTAATCATTCATTGTGCAAACCCTAAACCCATGCTCTGTGATTTGTTGTTTTTACGGGTTTTTTTAAGGGGCTATATACTTCTGCAATTTATCATGAAAGTTCCCATTGAAATGAACCTAAATGTAATAATTAAATACTTGAAATGTGTGTAAAACCTGACATTTATTAACCATGAACATGGAGCTGAGTTACATAAAATCCGTTTTTGCTCATAAATATTTTTCCGATGTTGTTGTTGTAATAATTGTTAAATTATTCTGTTCTAAAAAACAGGTGTTATAGTGAAGTAATTTCACTATGGTATGGCCTGATTCCCAGAAATATTCCATTGGAAGATTATTATTCAGAAACAGATTCTCAGCAAACACCTTTTGCCTTTAATCTCATATGTGCCACTTAAAGTAATTAAAGGGAGGTAGAGTTGCCAAAGTTTAAACTAAGTAAGAGTAGCACTGCTTTAACGTATTTCTATTCAAGTAAATGTAAAAAAGGAGCTGTCCAAAAATGTGTCAATCAAGAATTAACAAAAAGTGTTGGTTAAAAAGGTCACTTAAGTAATGAGTTAACATCTGAGTTGACATGTTAATAGTTTTTGTCAGAAAGCAGAGAACATGTTTATTGTCTGGATTTTAAAATTACAAATTAAAAATGTACAAATAAAAAATGAAGCATCAAAATTCAGGCATATTTAAAACAGGACAGTCATTTAAAATTATGTTTTCAGAATGTGAATGTACTTGCCTCTATATGGCAGAGTACAGCATAACTTTACAACAACAAAGCTTTGCTAAAAACAAGTTGTAACATAAGCTGTAAGGAAGTGTGTGTCTGCTGCAGAATAAAGTCAGATGTAACTGACTTATTACAGCAATGAATCAATTAATACATGGCTTAATCTCACACTATTCTACCAAGATGCCTTACTCACCTCGTGATACAGGGTACTTAAAAATGAGAGTAACCCCTATAACTCTTTTTCCTGTTTGACTAATTAGGCTATAAAAAAAAACTTTTCAAATTGTCATTTGATTCTAAAATATGTGAAAAGAATTAAACTACATGATAGCATCACTAAAAATGCAGCTGCTCACAATGAAGCAGAAAGCAATGAATTCTCACCACTTATATCATTATGGGAGCATCATGCAGAGTGGGAGTAAATCTAATGTGACACACATTAGAATGCTGGGTAGGGTGAAATGGTCTAGAATAAATGTCATAGTGTGTATTTAAACCTAAATACATAACCTAATACAAGTCATTGTTCTTTAAAGCAGTCCTTGTACACTTAATGATCCATCCCTTTGTAAAATTATTTGTAGGGAACACCACCATGTTTGAAACACCTTGGAAGCAACTTCTGTTGTATCATGAAGACCAGCCAAAAAGGGTAACGTTCTTTGATTTCTCCAGTGCATATGTCACAATTCAGCTCAGTTTGCTTTGTCAGAAACTCCAGAAAACTTCACTGGAAGCTTTAAATATCGGCCGAATCGAAGACTACTTGACAAATTGACCATAGTTTGTGAGACTGAAGGGTCAAGTGTCTTACTAGGTAGTCAGCAGAACAGGAGCATTGCGGAAATGGAAACCCTATCATTTCTTTTTACTCTGTACAGCTCTGACTTCCAGTACAAGACAAACTCCTGTCATCTGCAGAAATAGTCAGATGACCCTTAGAGATGAGCAAGAAGTTGAGAACAAGAAAAATGGTGGACCACTTTGTGGCATGGTGTGGAAACATACCAAAACAAACTTAATTTCAGTTAATTTAAAAATTTCAAATAACTTCTACAGTTTCATTTAAAATGTTTTTATGCTCATTTGAGGCAGTTTTAACTATTACGAAAAGGAGTCAGAACGAAACAAAAGCTGGAAGCCAATTTGCCAAATAAGTTCTCACATTGCTAACATTTACCCCGCATGAAGAATCCCATAAAGTAATGCATCAGAATTCCAATTTCTTTACTACGTCCTCCTACTGCATGTAACATTGCCAGTACTAGTTGAAAGATGCTTATTTTACATTTTCTCTGGAAGGAAATGTAGCAATTGACTGAATCAAATGAGGCCTGTGGAGCTTTAATTTTTCTTTTGGTTCTCTTCTCTAAAGTCATGATATGCTCTTGAATTATTCTCCATAGACATCTTAACAGTTCCATTTTACACAGTTTGTGGCTCATGGAGCTCATAGCATTTTGCTAAAGTCCCAAAATTGAAGAATTGTACATTCCATACCTCCATACTCTTATATGAGTGCAAATTTACTAGAAAGAAATCAACTGTAGAAAAGAATATGAATCAGCAAAGTGCAAAAGGGTCAAATTTTTTATATAGTTATTTGAAACAGTTTATTTTTTCTCTTCCTTTTGGTACAATAAACCAATGTTTTCCATCTATATCACTTGAGATGTTTACATAGCTCTTTCAGCGATGCCATGTTTCAAAATATTTGGATTAAAACATCTCAGTACAAATTCCTGTATTACAAATAAATGTTAAAACTGATTTTGTACACCTACAGGTTGAGTAACAAGCTAGACAACTTAGACAACAAGGTTGCTGTTGAGCTGTCTAGAAACCATTATGAAATGTTTATCTTCTCATGCTTGTTTGCCACAATCTTCAGAGTTTGCATCACAAAGCGTGTTTGTCAGAATAAAGAGGAGACCCAGAAAAAAGAAAGAATAATTCAAAAGAAATTTGTTCTGTGTATATTAATAAATAACTGAGTCTCTGTTAAACCCAAATATGTAACTTGGTGTTTCATTATACTGTATGATGTACTGACTGAGGAACCCTAAATGAGCGAGGAAGGAAGAATAAAACACCCTGGAAGATATTTTTAACTATCCCCACACATCTGAGATGAAAATTCTTACACACTACATGAACTTGGAAAAACTCTTCTCTAGATAAAAGGACACTGTAAGAATTTATTTTCTTTCTCTGTCATTATAACTGGAGGATATTGTCTGGATGGGTAAGTAAATTATTAAACCTGGTTCTCTGGTAATGCAGGAATGTGTGGACTACTTTATACCACAATACATTTTGTTATTCCTGATCTTAATTTACGTTTAAAAAAATTTGATTTTTATATTTTATCAGGAAACTTAATAAATACAGAAACAGGGCAAGTATAACAGAGTGTATGCGGTATGCTTTAAATACGTATTTATATTAATGTCAGTTTAGTATGCAGGTACTGCAAATGCCTAAAGTAGTATTTTTTCGTATTTCTGTGTTAGTTTTATGATATTAAACAACAGCAAATAAAATAAAATCATGTTATACAAAAAAAATTCAAATCAATCCTGTCTTATTCACTAATATGCAATGTTTTCAATCTAAAATAGTGATTTATTAGAACAAAAGTTTTCAGGTTAGCTTTTCTGTCTTTAGTGATGACATTTAATGTTAAAATAAAGGTCTTCAACAGGGGGTCCGTGACCCTTAGGGGGTCCTCGGAGGTACTACGTGGGGGTCACAAAAGTTTCGGTTCTTATATTCCCCACTGCAATTTTTTCCACTATTTCAAATGTCTTTAAATACACATTAACATGAATTCAACACACTGTAGTAAACAGATAAATGGAGGCAGAAGATGTCTTTTAGTCATCAATGCACACATTTGTCCCACATCATGTCCCATCAACAAGGAATTAGAATCAGATTCAGAAATACTTTAATAATCTCACGGCGAAATTACTTTTGTTACATTACTCTATCAGTAATAGAGTGACTTTAGGACCAGTTTGATATAAAACAATTTCATACATTATATATAATTAGGGGATCCCGTTCCATCTCACCATCAGTTTGGGGGTCCTTGTCCTAGAAAACGTCAAAGACCCCTGTGTTAAAATATACACAAAGAAGTTTAAAAATATTGTTAAATGAAAAGGGGTCAAAATAAATTTAATTTTCGCAGGACATTTTGAAACTGTTATAATAACATATTTAAATAACTTTCGTTGTCATTCCAAAAAAAATTAAAAACAATCCACTGAACTTGGTTTCCAAGTTTGAAGACGTCTTCAAACTTGGAAACCAAGTCCAGTGGATTTTTAATTTTTTTTGGGAATGACCATGACCTGAATGACTGAGAACCTTCAAAACTGTAGTATTTTCATGTAAAAGAAACAGTTTTTTGTGTTTTAATTTTCATTTCCTTTTTATCTTATGTATTATATCTCATTTAGATTTAAAACAGAATCCTTTTTATTACGTTTTCATCGAGAGGTCCTGTCTGTTTTAAATAAAGGTTTGGTTAAAAAAAAAAAAAGATGACCAAACCGGATATCCTGTTAGAGTGCGCACGACTAAAATGCTCGATAGCAATACATGGCATTTATTCAGTTTTAGCTACTTTAAATTTAAGATTGCCACTGGGACAAATATGGGCTTATAAATGAGTGTTTTCTCTAGAATTTAATTTGTAAAGCACCACAGAGCATCGCTGTTACTGCAGCTGCCATTCTATTTAGCTTTAGCGCTTTCTCTTTATGTAAACAAAAGAAAGGTTCCGCCTCGGAGGGGAAATAACTGAGGAGCACAAACCGATTTGCTGCATTGCTGAAGGTATTTTCTTTTTTTGGAAAGCAAACTAATAGCGTGTGTGGTTTTACTTACAGACATTTGGCTCTAGATATACACATAGAAGGTGCAGATGTTTGAGTTGGCTGCTCTAACATTTCTATTTTCCCAGCAGCGCATTTGCCCTGTGGTCAATGGAGTCACTCAATACGTTTGAGTCTGAGATGGAGCCTGATGGGCAGACAAACTACTCCCTGTTTCCTGCTCTGGACAGTATTGCAAGTCTGTCAGGGACAACAGAGAACATTGAGAGGTTCGTTTATGTTACAAATGATTGCAGTTCTTACAAAACATCATTTTCTTTTAGTAAAAGTACCTTTCTGAGTTAGATGCATCGTTTTGTTATATGAATGCATTTTAAGTACAGTTATCTGAACTTCCTAAATGCATTTTCAATTTCCACGTTTTAGTCATCAGTAAATTTTAAAATGAGTGGCTTTATTTTACCTCTTCCTCTGTTAGGTGTTTCAGTTGGATTAAATCAGACAAATTGAAGGCATAGTGTTACTATTGGTGCAATACAGTCATAATATGTGTTTATATTGTGAGTATGAATGCATCAATCTTTGGATTGATTTCTGATCCCTGGTTTTGTGAAGTTCTCACCTGCTAATACTGATTTTAGAATGTCAGAAATTTTCAAATTGCTCCCTTCAAGTTTTGTATATTACTTGTAGTCACTATTTGAACAAAACTATAATAAAAAAATAAATAAAATTAAGACTTAAAGGTGATCAAAGCAAAAGGTGAATTCAACTCAAATAGCCACCTGATGCACCGTGGATTCAGGCTTACGCAGTCCAAAAAGAAAAAAAAAAGTGTCAAAATCCAATTCTTTGCTTTCTTTATTTCTCCGTTCAGACAAACAGGTTACAGGATTCCTCTATTGCTCTCACTCTGATTCCTGCACCTGTTCTTTGATTGACTGACTGATTGATTGAGTGGCTGAAAACTGAGAACTGAAAACTAGTAAAAAAAAAAAAACGATATGACCACCCACGTGCATAATGAGCTACCTAAGACCTTCCTATTTATACTGTGAAACACCCACATCCCAAGCTGAAATTAATTAACCAATTAAGTGAATCACTAAACAAATCATATTCTAAATAACAAATCAAAATAAATAGTCAAAGTTCTAAGTTTAACTGAAAATAGAGAAATAGCTGCTACATTACTCTTTTGCTGCTTTTGTGAAAAATTGAAAATTAAACTGAATGAAATATTACAGTAATATTAGACAAGGCTTAAATTTTATAAATCTGCATGGAGTAGAACTGTTTTTCACCATGTTACTGAAAATCTACAATTATAGTCAAATCCTTCAGTTTTGAGGTAGAAAAACAAAAATCTTAAAAAAAAAAAGAAAAAAAAAGAAAATTTCTAGAACATTTTTCTTGCTACTTGAATATTATAATAAAGATCACAAATTATTTCCTTCAAATACCTGAAAATATAAGGCCCACCATTATCACATCAAGACCTTTTTTATTCGGCAAGATTTATTAAAAAATACGTTGCAGTGTTCAAAGTTGCTATAGAGTTAAAAAAAAACATCCTTTTCTGTGGTCTGTCATCATTTTTTGTATAGGAGTACAGGCTGTGTGCAGTGCAGGCTTCAGAATGTTTTTACATTTTTCAATGCAAACAAAAACAGAGATGCTTTTTCCTTAACTTTCATCTGCAGTAGTCAACAATAAGGTGCATGATAAACTCCGCAATTCAATTGGAAGATACCCAAACATGGCATAAGGAGTATAGTTTAGATTAAAACTATCACAGTTTATTTGCTGAATCATGTTTCCCCTGTTCTGGAAAAATACAATGCAGGGAAATACATGTAACGTAGGATTATCAATAAGGAATAAATTAATAATTGGTTGCACTAGGTGAATATTGGAAAGTCCAAATTTATTCCCATGTTAAATCAAACTTCAAAAAAATCTACAATTATTTTATGATAGAAAGTAAAAAAGAAATTTTCGAAATTACAGAACTGAACTAATTTCAACAATGGAAGATGGATGGATAGATAGCGTTATCTGTAGCTATAGCGCCCCCTAGCTCCAACATTTAAGAGTGGCTTATGTTATACACATATAACTTTGCACAGCAATGTTAAATGCTTTTATTTGTCACAGGTAGGGTAGGTCATGCATCAACTGATTTCTCAGTAGATTGTTTAGTTTGATTCTTTCATTATTTATTTTATTTATTTGCAAACTTGTTCTCCCTTTTTGCAGTGAACCTCCCAGTGAAATTACTGAGAAACCAAATCTCACGTGGCTTGATGCTGCTCAGGTATTGCCTACAAATCCATTAGACTCTTTGCTGCCACCAGCTGCTACTTTAGATGTCATTGCCTCTTCCTTGTGTAGATTGTCCTGGAGGAAGCTGGGCGTCCCATGCACATAAAGGAGATTAAGCAAAGAATCATCAATAGGGGCCTTGTTCAGTCTAAGTATGGCAATCGTTCATATTTGATAAAGGTTTAAAATATGCATATTCCTGCTAAAGTTTCTCTTTAGATTATTTGTGATGTTTGCACGTGTTAACTGTTTGAACAAAGAGAAGCTAATTAGTGTGAAGCTTTTAAATATTTAATAGTAATTTGGATATTCTTAATCTACTTACATTGTTTTCCTCAACAGTGCAAAATCAAGCCTGGAAGCCGTCATGTATCGTGAGGTAAGAATATTTTTTTTAAACTGTGAAACCTCTCCCCCTGCGTTTGTCTGGATGTCTTTTAATTTCTCCATGTCTTCCCATCAAGCTTTTTTGACCCTTTTTTTTTTTACCATCATCTAGACATATCTGAACCATGACTATGTCAAAGAGCTGCTCGGTAGAGATATGCGCAATCCCTAAACCTGCTGTATCCAATGAGGATACAGTTTACCTAAACCCGATTTTATGGGTTTTTATGGCCAAATAGAGTTTCCTGCCCCAAATGCATTCGGGCTCAGTTTCACATTATGTTTCAGACCCAAAAAGGCAGCAGGCGTTTCAAGAGGATTGAAAACAGAAATGGAGTCTTTGCCTTACTGGTGAGTTTTCTGGTAAAACTGACATCTCTTTCACACGAAAACTAAAAACAAAATGGAGCCCATAAAGAATTTGCTTTTACCTTTTTTATTGTAAGTACCTCTGTACAAGGTATAATATTAAATTACAGTTATGATTATTACGGTATGTAAATAGTTTATTTCTAAATTTCTTTTATGCCACACATTTAAATGCCACAATCAGAAAAAATATTTCTTTAAATACGTATTTATATTAATGTCAGTTAAAAAATACTAAGAAATGTGTTTTATGAACATTTAAAGTATTGTTAGTATTCAAGAAGAAGCTATACTGTGAAACAGATAATTGTCATAAAGAGTGAAAATATTTGATGTTCAAAACACAAATAATTATTTTATCATTTCCCATCTTTGCTGTTAACCATCATGAAAATAGAAAACAGAAAATAGAATAGAAATAGTGTGACGGTGGGGAAATTAATCCGGCCCCGCCCACTGACTGTGTATATTACTGACAGGTTAAATACATTTATATGGGCTTTAAAATAGTTTAATTAATGCTATAATAGACTGTTCATAATTTGTTGTCTAATGCAAATGGTTTCAATTTTCTAGAAATTATTGGATATATTTAAAAAAAAGTTAGAGTTTTGCGTCTTACGTTTCCTTTGCCACAGTGTCTTCACATTTTGTTAACAGTTTTTCATTACTGCATTTCGTATTGAAATCTGTGTTAATTGTTTACATTTTCACGAGCTAAGCGCAACACAGACGTCTTGTATCTGAACCTTCTCCTGTGTCTCCCTGCTGCCTTGCAGACTGATGAGGAGCGGCAGCAGGCCCTCACCGCCCAGGCTTTCCTCAGCTCGGCGCCACCGGCCCCGCAGAGTGGAGCTTCCAGCTCTGGCTCCGGCGCCTCGGTGCCGGCCTTCCCATCTCCCCCGAGTTCCTCCGATCAAAAACCAAAGTTAAAGAGGGGTCAGCGGAAAAAGCAGAATGAGAAGTACAGATTGAAGTACTTGAGGCTGCGCAAAGCTGCTCGCACCATGATATTTGTAAGAAAACTTTTCTACCAAATATTAACCTTATACAGGAAAGAAAAAAAAAGCACCTTATCTGTCTGTTCTGTGTTTATATGTGGCGTGTGTTTTGTGCGGTATCGCTTTAGTGATTAAACACTACCTGGATGGAAGCAAATGACATATTCTACTCTTGTGATATTTCTAGATTAGATACTAAACTGAAATGAAAAACAAGAAAGTGTTAAAACTAAATATATCCCCTGACTCTGTAAGTAAATTTAATCTTTTGCGGTATTAGTTTATAAGCCTCTTACATGTGTGGAAAAATGTTGACAATGTCTGCTTCCTACTTCAGTGTGTTTGATAATGAGGGCCAGTCTCCATCTGACCTCACGTTGGAGTCCAAAATACTTTAGTTCATGTTCAACCCAGTGTCCGCATGTCGCATCACTAATTGCAACCAAACAAGTTATGTATGTTTTTTTTATTTTTTAGCTTTTTATTGTCATCACACTGTCGCAAGTACAAAGCAACGAAATTAACTCTCTGCATTTTACCCCCCCGCATAGGAGCAGTGGGCTGCCATTGTGAGGTGCAATCGGGGTTAACGATTCTTGCTCAGGGTCACATAGTGGCAGTCTGTGGGGGTGGGTTTAAAACTCACAACCTCAGGATTCCAAGCTCTATGCCCTAATCATTAGGCCGCCACCGCCTTTCCAAACATCTCTGCTTTGTCCCTAGTGTCCAAATGACACTGTAAAAGAGGTTGTGTTTAATCAAAGCCTAGCTTCTGTCTCCATCTGCTTTTTAGCAAAAACTGGTACTCAGATCTTTTCCTGATCTGACTCTTGTGAAGTTTTATCATTGAATTTGTCGACTGAAGCCAGAGTTGTCTGAAATAAAGCCTGTAGTTTTTACATTTCCCAGAGCGTTATGATGCTAGTTCAGACAAATTTGCTGGCTCTTCCTTCTCTTTTTATGATGATTTCCATTTGTTAACAGTCTTCTTGGGCTGCTTTTAGTTTGGAAGGGACCCAATAACCTCCTTCTACATTGTTGTACAGGGTTACTCTCTGAGGTCTTCATCAACAATATTTTTACCAAAAATCTAAGTGTAAATAATAGAAATCTGTTTAACATCTTCTAAGTCCATAGGATTATGACCTTTCTTTCAGCTTTCTTTTTTATAAATATTAAATTATTTTGGTAAATCAGTAATCTTTGTGAAATAATTTTGAATCTGTTCTACAGTTGTTAAATGGGTGCATTTTCTTTTCACTGGGATTGTATAGATGTGGACATGGATAATAAGATTTTAATTCTTTTTGGTATGTAGCATGACTATACTGCTTTTCTTTTATTAGGAAAATGCGGCCCTTTGTGATGAAATTGCTCACACAGAAGAGAAGTTCTTAAGAGCAAAAGAGGAACGCAAGTATGTATATGTAGATATATAATTTGTTCTCAACCTTTTTTTAATCACATCTCCAATCACACCTTGAATTCCATTGTTTTCCTTTTTTTCTAGGTTCTTATTAAAGTCTTTGATGCAGTACCAGACTTTTTCAGAGGGGGAGCTCCTGCCTACTCCCGCTTCCAGCTCTCTTCCTCCTGCCCCACCTGCAGCCCTGAGCTCAGCTCCTGCTGCAGGGCCTTCAGCCACATCTTTGCCTCATAACCCGATGTCTGTGGTGCCAATGGGTGAAGATGGTCTGCTTAAAAAAACGAAGAAGGAAAGAAAAGAACGTGGGAAAGAAAATGGAAAGGAAGAATGTAAGTTTGAAAGAAGGTGTGGAAAGAATCAGTGTAACACGTCCTCATGAATAAATACCAATAAAAATGTGTCTTCAGTTCAGAAGAAGATGTCCAAGAAGAAGAAGCTGGCAGATGGCTCACGCAGACTGGTGCAGCCCATCCCACTGGACTCGTCGGGCCGCCCCGTGTTTCCTATCGTACTTGGAGGTTTAACCATCTACAGCCTAGGAGAGGTCAGCATACAGGAGAACTCTTAACATTATAGCATCGCTAATAATTTATAGTATTGAGCCAATAAGTCTCAGCTGGTCTGTTTAAGGCTGATCCCAACAATCTGAATTTGTGGCTCTTCAGATCATCACGGACAGAATGCTGTTCCATGATGAGTGCGCCATCTACCCAGTGGGTTTCTGCAGCACACGGGTTTACGCCAGCATGAAAAACCCTGAGCAGCAGTGCCTGTACACCTGCCAAATCAAGGACGGGGGGACGGGTCCCCAGGTGAAAATGCAAATCCACTGCAGCTGTTTTAGTACATTCCCATCTCTAAACATTAGCCTCTTTAGAACATGATAAATGTGACATCCAAAGATATGAAGTATTATATTGTGTTTGCTAGATTTAAATTACTGTGCACTGACTGAGACAAAATGTCTCTTTGAGGATAATAAAGTTGGCTTTTTTTTAGTAGTTTTTATGCGATAGTTACTTGTTTTATGAACAGTAGGCTGACAGGAAAGGGGATATGAGAGAGGGGGAGAGACATGCGGGAAAGGACCACAGGCCGAATTTGAAGCCTCCATACATAGGTTGTGTGCACTATCAGTGGGTGAAATGTTTTTTTCTGCTGCAAACTTTTAGTTTGAGATTGTGCCTGAAGAAGATCCTCAAAATGCCATCGTGGCGTCCTCCGCTCTGACATGCCACTCAAATCTGCTGAAGGCTATTTCCTCTAACAGGTAACCGTCCCCCCTACTGATTGTTTCCTAAAACTCTAACAAGCTTAAAAAAATCAAATGCTTGGAAAACTTGAGGTTCATCTGCAGCTTTTAGCTGATTTTTTTCCCCCCTTTGGTCCCGTTAAACCTCTTTAATATGTTTTTTTTTTTTTTCCAGTTCCAAGCCTGTGGCACCAATCATTCCATCTGGAGCTGACTTCTTCGGCTTCTCTCATCCGACCATCCAGAATCTCATCCAGAGCTGTCCTGGAGCTCGCAAATGTAGCAAGTGAGTTCACTTTGCTTCCTGGATGCTGTGCTCCTTCATACGTTAAGTCCTGACCGGTTTTATTCATATCCTGCTTGCTGTAGTGCTTAGCAGATGAAAGGAATCAAAGAAAGCTATTTGAAACGAAATTAAAAATAAATATTTTCTAAACGCCAAAAAATGCACGTTACATCCATGTTACAGACACATTTATGTTAAATTTAAAGTCAACTCTGAAGCAGTTTGAAAAAAGCTTAAAAGACAAATCCAATTGTGCTTCAGTATTCTTAGTATTTGTAATAAACGGTTTATTTTAAGAACTTAGGAATTTTAGACTTTAGTTTGATGGTAAAAATTAACTAAATGTTTAAAGAAAAGGAACATTTTAAATAAAACTTGACTGTTTGTTCCACTTTTATTTCCTAATTCATGACAAACAGGTCTCATTCTACTCATCTTTACTACTGAGAGACTGTGTCAAAGTTTAATGTTTCTTCTATACCAGTTATGCATCATGTTCAACTGCAGATATCAAGAGGATTAGGCTGCAGGATATTTGAAAAGATGCAAAGCAAATCGATGTTGGTTGGTTTTCATAGTGATTAACCCTCTTTTTATTTACTTCTCACATTTTTTCATCGTTATAATGTTTTTGCTACTCTCCATAATGTTCATCAACAAGGTTTTATGCTTGGGGATGAATGGTAGTAAAAGTCCTTGCAGTGTGCCAATATACGTTACTTACATGCATAGTTTTAAGGCATAGAATATTAACATATTTTGGTCTGTTAAATACTGCGTCCAAGTGGTCCTTTGTGATTGCTGTTCACATATCGATACATAGATGTAAAGATACTGATGGATGTACTTTATCAAATAAAATCAACTTCTCAGAATTATATCTTTATAACACTTAATATTTTCTGAATAGGGTTATGATTTTAGGGAACTCATCTGTTTTTAATTTATTGAAAGCAGACAAGCACCAAGAAAGAAAAAAGATCTTCATCTTAGTAGTAAATGTGGTTTTATCTATTAGATAATCCCTCGTTTCTCTGGATCCTTTAGCTACAGATGGATTCGTTTCGAGGTGTGTCGCCCTGGTGACGGCCAGCTCCCTCACAGCCTGTCAGAAGATGATGCCTCGATTAGCTTCGAAGCCTACCTGAGACACCAAGGCCTGGATGTGAACATCAAGATGGAGCACATCACAGGTGCGTCATTGTGTCAAATCTGACTCAATAACCCAAATAACCCACTCACTGCTTTCTGAATGTCTTTGGAGCAGATATAGTGTCACAGATGCGTTTTACTTATTTTCCCCAAATGAGTCCTAAATATTCTATTTTTAAAGTGAAACTGAAACAAAGTTGCTTGTTTGTATTTTCTTATGCATGCTGTGACACTGCATGCATTAGATGCACCATATGATGCAAGCGATTCCTAACCCAATAAGCTTAATTTTACATGTATTTAATAAAGCCAGCTGTGAAGTTGGAGAGAATATTCTCTGCTGGTTTATATTTTGATAATTGCTGGTTTATTTAACTGTTTGTGATATAATTCAAAAAGTTAGGTTTGTTAAAATCGGTTCTGGTGTTCTACTATAAGGAGAAGTGTTTTGCTTTCCCCAGGTGATCCACGTGCTAACCTGATCGTCCTCTTTCCTCTTTCAGGACAATCACCTCCATCTCCTGGTGCCTCTCATCACCAGACCTCCCCCACTGTGAAGCCATCCTCCTATTTCGGCTCCTGAGATTCCCTTCAGTTTGTTCTGAATCATACTTTTCCTTCATTTGAGAAACTCAGACATATTTAATTTGTAATTATTCAGCATTCCTTAGAGGTTGGCCTAAGGATGTGTACAGTATGTAAATGAGCTGTTGTTTTTGTTGCGATTGTTTCTTTATAAATGTTGATTTTTTTATATGTAATAATCATATATTACATTTTTATGTGTACAGTCATAACCTGCATTACTGAAACAAATCCTACATAGTTGAGTGTGATCATGATACAGTGATGTATATAGTATTAAACTGAACAGTGTGTTATAACCTGTGGAGTTATTTTACATACATTTAGTTAGGGTTAGTTTTTTTAAATAAATCGAAAGCTAAAAGATAAATCAGGCTCTTGTTACATGAAGAGAACGGTGGTTTGAAAGAGCCAAAATATGAGTGTGTGTATGTATGTGTGTGTCGTCATAACGATTTCTTAAACTCACATAAATTGTATTTCTATGTTCTAAAATTACTCATTTATTTCAGGTTAGAAAAAAGCTAACTACATCAAAATTCATGTAGTTGTATAAAATCTTGACAATATGGAATTCTTATTCTATTTTTTTTTTTTTTCTTTCACATTTCATCAAGACAGCAACAATGTGGAAAATCATTGCACGCTGCTAAGAACATATTATACAAATGGCCACAAATCTTACATTCCACTGATGGGTTGTATAAATGTGTGTAAACAAAAGAAATTACAATTGTGCATTTTATCATTTCAAATTTAGAATGACTGTGGATTAGAGAAAAATCAGTTCATTCATCATTCCCTTCTAAATAGAGAAACGTTTACATGCATCATTAGAAGCCTGAGTCCTGGATAAACTTCTAAGAACTATATGAATAAAATAAAAAAAATGGCCACCTATCACACATTTATATAAGCTCAGATTTAAAGACAATTTATAATGATCTAGCAGCAACAAATACAACTTTAAACTGATCCAGAGAAAAAAACATATTGGGACAAACCAGGGTATCTCCACTTGGATGAGATCAATCAGTTCCGTTTTACTCATGTTTAAAGCCGCCTAATATGTGTATATTTAGATGAGAGAGCCAGCTCCTCAGATGCATTGAAAATCTATACAAAAGCAAAAAATATAAAAAAGAAATAAAATTGAATAAGTTAATATTTTTATAAAGATAGATGAATGCAGCACCCTCTCTAGGCCAGAGTTTGTATTACACCATCCTTACTCTGGACTTTTCAACTAAACAGGTTCCAGCTCTTAAATGAAAAGTGCCAGCTGAGAACCAAGCAAGGTCATTAAACTACATAATCATAACCATCTTGTTTATTTTTCAAATATTTATTTGCAGCTGTATCATACAAATAGTTAAGAAATCCTATATTGTGATTTCTGCATTTGTTTTTGCTTTTTTAGAAAATGTCTCTTTCAAGGGACATGCACCTAAGATGACAGTTTCAGACCCCCGTGATTTCTAAGTGGGAGAACTTGCAAAATAGATGTTCAAATACGTATTTTCCTCGCTGCAAGTAAACACTGTTTTAAGACTTGTGTAAAATCTGTTTGCATCCATCCAGTTATCAGCTTGCCCTCATCTTTTTATTTTTTATAGTCAATATATTCCTAATTTACAGGTTTCATATTTACCCTGGTATCTGTTCATACACTGCAAAAAATGAAATCCAAGTCAATTTTTCTTAAAATAAGTGCATTTTTTTATTAAGGAGGTAGGTGAGACATACCTAAAGGATTAAGACAATTTACATTTCAAATTCCTTATTTCCAGTGCATCTTATTTTAACAGTAAAAATACTCATTCCATTGGCAGATTATTTACATACGGTACTCAGATTAAGGGTAAATAGACCAATTTTAATAGTTTTATACACTGCAAGATCTAACAGCAATAAATATAAAACAGGTATATTATTGAACACCTTTCCACTAATATCATGATTCTGTCCCAAAGTATAAATCTGACTTGTAGCTTCACCTGATAAATGGTCTTCTCCAGCAAATAGGCTATTGCTAATATTTTCCATTCCTCGTGAAAAAAGGAGAATAAAACACCAGTCATACTCCATCATTACTAGTCTTCATTAATCATAAAAGTAGAGTGGATTTTAGAAAATGTAAACAAAATACAGAAATAAAAGAAATCAGTAAAAAAATCATTTTTATTTCTTTTTCAGATTCTTTTCCAAACATTTTGATCGGCTGAGTATTTATTGGTGATAAAAGGAGGTGCAGGTAAATTCCCATCAATATCGTAAACAGGGCATGCTTTGAATTCACAGGGCCAGTCTCTCCATGCATATCTAAGAGCGGCAACTTCAGATGACGGACACGAGCCAGCAAACAGCCTGATGCTGGTGTGATTCCAATCCATGATGGCAGCTGGAAGCCAAATGGACTTGGTCTCACATGAAACTTTCTTCTCTGAACAGCAGATCTGTGAGAATAAAATTGGTTAATAGAGTTGGTGAAAATATCAACTTTTGATTTGAAGTTGCTATCAACTTAAATTCTGTTAATACAAAGTTGTTGAAATGCAAAGAAATCCCAAACCACAGTCTATACTAAATAAAAATATGAACAGTCTAGGTTAAAAAAAAAAAAAAAAAAAGATTTATTCCACCACTGTGATATATTGAGTGTATATTTGATAATTTTAATGAGGCCTTCTGGTAATGTAAGGATCTGGGGGAAAAAAATGTAACCACAGAAATATGAAGACCAATATTAAGTTTACATATACTGTACACTATAAGAACCCAAATCTTGGACTTATGAAATACTGTTTTAATGAGGCACAGCTTAGGCTACGTTAACACTGCAGGCCTTGATGCTCAAGTCAGATTTTTTTTTATTTTTTATTTTTAGTCACATTTTTTTTTGTGTTGCCGTTCACATTTCCAAATATATGCGACTTGTATGTGATCTGTGTGAACTGCATTAATACAACCAAAGTGTCCCGCAGGCACAGTAGAGGACATAATGACATCACAAGGCAGGGTGCTCTGTGTTTACGGAAGCAAGCATGGATGGTAGTGCTGGAGAACATCTAGCTATCTTTCCCAACCATAAAAACTCAATCTTTCCAAGATGGTTAAATATAAATACTGCTCTCTGCATCATCGTCCACCATTGTTGTTTTTCTTGCCACTTCTGCATAGCAAGAAGCGGAATAGTGACCTTTGTCAGGTATTAATGACATTCAGGTCAGATGAATGCAACCTTCAGACACAGGTCACATTTGAAAAGAAATTTGAAAAGATCAGATTAGTATTGGATTCAGGACCACATAGCCATTGGAAAAAAAATTTGCATCCGTGTTGTTCAGACTGTCATGAAAAGATCAGATCAGAACAACAAAACAAAACAAAAAACAATCAGATTTGGGTCACTTCAGGCTGCGGTGTGAACTTAGCCTTAGTGGATCAGCCTGTGGCACAGCTGAAGTCTACTGGAAGCCAATGTGTCTTTGATAGCTCCCTTCAGTTTGCATGCATCGTTTTATCTGGTCTCTTATCTTCCTCTTGACAATATACTCCACAGGGTTCAGATTTAATCATGATAACAGGACTTTGGCCAGTCAGGCACACCAATATCATTTAATGTTTATTATTTAAAGCAGGTGCTGGTAATTTCTCCTAGGCACTAAAGTCCTAAAAGCTGCATCTTCACGAAGCTTTCAAACTAAAACAGGCTGCAATCCAAGTCTTAACCTCAAATGAAATGAAACATCTATTTTTATTGAACTTTGACAATAAAAGCTACTAAAGCTGCCAATATCTTAGGTGTTTTTCCAATAAATTTTTCCTGCAACTCAGTAAATTCTTCAAATGTATTTTGTTGTGTATGTTTTATACAATCTGAAATAATCTTAATCATACAGGGATGCTCACCTCAAAAATGTTTTTAGATGATGCAACAGAGACAGCCTTATCGTAGGTGATGATGATTGAGTTTTCCTTTAACATGATTTCTTTGGGGAAAGGTCCTTGGAAAGATACATTTTTTTCTCCATAAGCCACAGCTCTAGCACCCAGTGTTAGCCTATGAGCAACATCCTGTTTGTCTCTGGGATGGATTCTGCAAAGGAAAATTAGGCTCCATAAAGTTTGATACAAAGTAAATACAGTAAAAAATAAAAGTTAAACAGTGAGAAATAGAAAAAAAAGATGAATTTTATTTTGTCTTTAAAAAACAAAATTTATTTCTCCTCATGTATGACTGCTTTTTATTATGACCATGCTATTATGAACTCAAACATTACAGCTACACATGTTTTTGCCAACATCATAGAAACTGGTGCATTAAGGAAAACCTTTCAACTTTTGACCACATTCTTTAGTACACAAGCATTTTTGCCAAATGTATCCTTACGTGCCATATGGTGAGGTTTTATCCGGTAAATCCAAAGCCACTGCCATGAAGGTGTTCTTCATCCTGCTGTTTGGGACAAAGCCCATGTCTGCCGTTTGGTGCCAGCGAATTTCAGGAAATCCATCATCTGCAGAACCGTTTTTGTAGGTGGACAGCTGCACACAAAAATTATTTATCAGATGCAGATATAGATGCTTATTTTATCTCCAGAACATACAAATCTGTCATGTTTTTTATTCTTAGATTTAAACAGTCCACTTTACAGCATACTTGAACAAATCCAAATGGGAAGTCAAGAGCAGTCTGCCCCCCGGAGCCTTGGTGAAATCCCATCCTCCAGGCATTTATCATAGCAGGAAATGAACAGTTGTACTTGTCTTGATGGTACTCTGCATTTGCCTCACCTGAAAATTATAAAGATTTGACTGATATGATTTGAGTATCCCAACTTTTAGAACATCTACCATTTGCAAAAGTTTCATTACCCTGGTACCAGATGGCTCCGTAGATCGTCATGTTGAGGAATGGGTGGATCATTGCATTCCATAAAACGGTGCTTTTCATCATAGAGCTGATGGATTATGTCTGACAGATTAGAGATCACCACACAACGGATAGACAAATATGTACAAATATACTGTCCATTTAGGTGGATTATGCAGTTTTTCATGTCCCTACTTGTCTTCACTTTGATTCAGTCCACACTGCTTCAGGGCTCTTGGGGAGGACCAGGCTTCCACTGGTGTGCCTCCCCAACATGACTCTACCAGTCCTATGGGGTACTGCAGCTTGTCGTACATGTAACGCCCAAAAAGCCAACACACAGCTGAAAAATCTGCAACGACACCTGCAAGAGCAGCAATACCACACAGCTTAGATGGGAAGCTGACATGCAGCAATCAAGGCGCTAACATTAGATGTATATGGAGCTATTAAATAAACAGGTGGACTTTCTCTATAATGAAATGATTATAAAGACTTTAATAAACCTTGAGAACTGATTGCAGGCTTGAATTTATTGCGATTTTTCTCTGGTGGTCCAAATTATAAATATAGACTCAAAATTTTACACACCGACTGATGTTTGCCTAAACCGTCTTTAAAGGGAGGATCCAGAGGAAGCCCTCATGAAGCCATTTCCATTATGTCTCACATTAGCTCATCACTTCATAGTGGTTAACAAACTAAATCAACCCCCCCAGTTTATGATGGCTTGAAACGCCATTGGTTACTGCATCATTCCTGAAAATCCTAACCCTCTTTAATTTCATCTGTGAGTGAAAGTTCTGATCAAATTATCGGTATCTGGACACTAGGGCTGCAACCAATGATTATTTTGCAAATTGATTATCTGTCAAAGGTTCCTTCAAGAAGTTTAAGAAACTAAACCAGGTGAAACAAAAACTTTACCACTTGTATTGTTCTGAATATTGCATATCTATAGACAAAAAATCTTTCTTTATCCAAAATGCAAAATGTTAAAGGAGAATTCCGGTTTTTAACACTTTTAGCCCATTTTCTGTAGTGTCCAGGATGAAATCGAATGATCGACACCAAAATTTTGACAATTG